TGATGCCTTCGACCCGTAAGTATAGTAAGGAAAACTCACCTCTCATTGTCAAATCATATAGACAATCCATGGCTGCTGGCTGACAAATTCCTGAACTGTCAATAGCAAGGCAACACCCCATCAACAGCTGATCCAACGAATAATCTCTAACTGCATATCCGCTAAAATCCACACGCTATCAAATATCACAATGACAATCCATCAACATCTAGTCTCTGACTCACACTATGAGTCCAAAGTAGGATAAAAGACCTTTTTACCCTTCCACAAGCTTGGCCTAAGGCCAAGGCCCAAACTAGATTACAAAGTGCCTAAAATCCAAAATAAACATCTAAGGCCCAAATACAGCCCAATTTTCCAAATTGGACCTAATTCCGTTTGTGGGCCTTCACCCTAGAAAGTCCAACATGACAGAAGCCCAAACCAAAAAAAATCCAAATGTCCCAACATGACCCAAGACAATACGAGCCCAAAACGAAGAGGCCCAATACTGTCGCCTATGTTGGGCGTACTCCGAAGGTAGGCTCATCGTACACGAGGCTGCGCAGAATCCACCATCGGGGTAGTTGGTTGGATACGCGGGGCATACCCTCGCAAATCTTGTTTTCTTCTATCAAATGAACCATAAAGGCATGAACTTTATACCTTTAGATGATGGAGAAAAGAGCCATACTTCCAGATCTAATATTTGCTTCAAGCTTCCAAGCTTCTTAATGCGCCTTTCCTTCCTCTAAAACACCAAGAACTCACTTTAGGGCTCAAAATCACACTCAAGAGGGGTTAGGGTTTTGTAAGAACGACACTAAGGCTTTGGAGGCATAAAAGGCGGGGATAAATGACCATAAGGATGATTAAATACCCCTCAAACCCTAAAACTTAGGGTTTCTTTCAGACATGAGTACGCTTAGCGTACCACTCCTCCCAAAATTACAATCCTGCCACTAGGGCTTCTTGCGACTACTTCTTTCCAAAACAAGGACCAAAATGACATACTTTAAAACCAAGAGATGAATTTGAAAATACTTGAAAACCGGGGTGTGACATAATTTAAATACATCCCTTCTATTTAAGTTTATTATTATTATATCCCAAAAGTATAAATTAATTATTATAATACTCTTTAGTTTTAAAATAACCTATTTAAATTAATTATTTTTAATATAATTAACTTACAAAAAATTAAAAAAAGAAAGAATGACAAGCGTTGCAACCCACGCCTTCTAAATAACAATCGTATCAAGCAGTGTGGTAAGTATGATGTGGTGCTGATGTGGACCGTGACAAGTGTGTCACCACACCCACCACCCTTATAGAATAAGGGTTTCTTTCCCTTTATTTTCTGCATATGTTATTTTTTTTCTTCTCTCTCCTCCTTAAAAAAATCAAGAACATTTATTTCCTCCCATTTTCTTCTTTGAAAACTCGAGAACATGGCGTGTTGCAAAAAAGAAAACAATATTCCCAAATCGAATATTAATAAAAAATTATAACATTAAGTAAATTATGACCATAGTTGAATTCGCAATTTTCAACTTAATTTTTGCAATTTTTGTCGTTATTTGGAATTTATGTAACATTTTTGTTCCCCCTTTTTAAGAAACTGACTATTTTTTGGACCAAAATTAGCTATACTCAATAAAAGTGGTCATTCAAAACACCAAAAATTACACCTAATACAAAGACCAAAATTGTAATCAAAAACATTTTGAGACTAAAATTACAAATATCAGTTATACCATTAAAGGTGTAACTTCATTTTATTTATGTTAAAAGAAGTAAAAGTAAAAAATATGTGTTATCAAACTAGATTTTGATGTATCATACATGGAAGTCATAAATTTTGCGGACATGGATAATTTGACATTTCCGGTGAAATTGCTATCAAAATTTGATTTTTATTTATTTATTTATTTTTATTTATTTGTTTTGTATTTTAAGCACATATTAAAATCTTTATATATGCATCTAAAGCCAAATGTATCATGGTTGTGTTTCTCCAAAAGGGTAACAAACATAAACACATGACAAAAAAAAAGTGTCAACTGTTATATAAATTACATTAAGTAAAGCATTTATCAATTTCACAAGTACGTTTCTTGTTCCATGATATGGTACTAGGGGTACCCATGGTACAAATGCTACTTCAGTCCGACTTCATGCAACTTTTTGCTTTGAAGGTGGTGGAAAGATGTAACGGAAAATCCACCCTGCCGATATTGCCCCTATGAACGGAGAAACCCAATAAACAATAAAATGTTTTCGTGTATTGTAATGGTTGTTTACATATGCCCATCCAAACGCCTGTAGAAACACAACAAATGAAGAAAACTTATGGCTTCACACGTTTACATTAGTTTATAAGTTAACTTGTTTATTTTTTGAGTTTTCCTAAGTTAAATAGATTAAAAATGTTAGTTTTTTTAAATGTCAAAACTATAGCAAAATAAAGAAACAATGTCCCAAATATTCTTTTTGTGATATTGATCGTTTGAAATAAAAATAACCTTTTAAAAAAAAAAAAAAAAGGAAAGAATGAATTTGTGAAACTTACATTGGCAGGATTTAGTGAAGGACCTGTGTAGCTTCTACCAAAAGCAGCGAGTATCACGATAGAAGCAGAAAGCAACCAGTTTTTCAAAAGCCAGCTCTTAGGGCCACGAAGGATAATGTAGAGAACAAGAATGGAGCTCATGAATGTCAACATCCCTTCAACAATGGCGCCTGTATGAATATCAACTTTCAGATAAGGTCCTCCAAGCATGTGTTTGTACTCCAATGGCATGCATCTTACAATCGCCAACGCACCACCAACTCCACCAACAGCCTACCAACAATCGCCAAAACATTTCAAGATCATGCAGATTTGGAAGAAAAAGTTTCAACAATGGTGAATGATCGATGCTGACTGAATACAAGTTCGGTTGATTGATTACCTGAGCAGGAAAACGAACTGCGGCGGAGATAAGAGTGTCACCACCGTGGCCGACGGCGTAAAAGGCGGCAGTACCAGTAGGATTAAAACTAGCGCCACCTAACGCAGTTCCAATTATACCGAAAATAAACAAGAGGATGAAGACGAGTGAGATTGTGATCAACAGTTTAGCTATTCCTTGAACGCCGATAGCTTTGGCAATAATGGAAGTTCCGGCGCTAAGGCAGGAAGCACAGAATACCCACATGAAAGTCAACACACCATCGCCGACAGCCACCTTGACTAACCCCATATCTCCTCCTCCGTTTAACTACAGAGTCCGTTTCCCGATTCACCGGAAAAGTTGCAGAAAGGAGTGGAGTTGGGTTTGGAATTCCATGAGAGAGATGCACTTATATAGTTATATTATTTCCACACTTTGGAAGTGGACAATACGAGGGGTGTGAAATGATATTTATTGTAAATATTGGTGATGATGATGATGAGTGTGATCGAACAACCCAACCATGGATTAATTTGGAAGTTTGGTAGAGTTAAGTTGAGGTAAAAGTTATAGGAGTTGATCATGATGCCAATGATATGAGAATATTATGAGAGAGAAATATTTTTGCTATGATTCAAATTACTGTTTTTGTTAAAATAGAAAAATTACGATAGAATATGCTAAAAGTAAGTTGTGATGCATTGTTGACATTGGAAACGACTTAATTGGATAGCACATTCCGTTTGATGCATGTTTAGTAGTTGATACTTTATGTACAAGTTTTGATTGGATAAACTGTAGTTGTAGCCTTGTAAGTAGCCACATGCTATTAAACAAAGGAGTATCCCCGATCTAGTGGGTGTTGAAAGTGATTTTCAACTTTCTCGAGTAGGATTTCTCGAATTGTTTAATAACCAAGGGCACTATACCTCATAAAATTTTTCATTTTTTATAATTTGTTCTAAGATTTAACTAAAAGTTAACCAAAAGACCGAAATAGTAATCATGTTCATTTTCCGAAATAGTTTGCCATAGCCAGAGAAATGGGCCAAAAGGCTATGAAATGGGCCTATTTAAACCCCCAAAAAAATGAACATTTTCTATCTTTTATTTTCAGTCTCGTTAAAATAGCCAAAGATAATTACAATAGGCCAATAGAAATAAGTTTATTTATGATTTATTCTCATATAATACATACATTAACAATTACTCAACAAATAATAGGAAAACAGATTTTATTTTTTTTCTCTTCATGGCTCCATGTCTCGTCATGTATTAACATATATAATTAAAAGTTATATAAAAATTAAGTAATAGTAGAAAACATATAGTATATCTATATATACAATAATAAGTTATATAAAAAACCGACACATGTACATATTACCTAGTCTCTGGTGTTCAAGCAAGAGAGTTTATTGTATTTTGTGATATCTACACATATGTCATATTTAACTATTTAAATTCGTGATGATTATAACGAGACTTAGGGTTTTGGGGTTTTGTTTCCATCATGCATTGTTTTGGAGTTGCGATGTTTATAACAATGATTTTACATTATTTTTACTACTTTTCCCCCAACTAGATTTTAATGAAGGTTTAAATGAGTTAATTGAGAATATGACATTTGTATTGCAATGTGTTTATTCTTTTTTTTTTTTTTTGTTCAACTCCGATATTTCTCATTAGGCTTGTCATGTCTAACTTTATTTTTACATGAAGCACTTTCTTAGTTACTGTGGACTAATGGACTATGGAGATCGAGAAACATGTGGTATATTTGGAAGACCTTAAGATTGTGTTTGAAATAGAAACTATTACTTTACCTTGTCTATTGTAATAATTGGTATTGTCGGCAGCACCTATTTGTCGTTTCAGAAGTGATTGGCAATGGATTATCGGGATCATAATGAGATTTAATAGACATTTCACCTTTCAGATTTTTCTTCTGGAAAAAATTAATTACATTTTCTAATAGATGTTCGAGTTATATGGTTCGAGTTGAATCAACACCAAATAACTTGGACAAGTATTATTCATACTCCATAGATCAAGAAACTCGTCAAATAAAGTGTTTATTCGATTGGATTTTATCATAAAACGATCAAACACAAATATACAAAGACAAGAGAAGATATTCATAAACATTCAATCCAACATACAAAGAAAGCCATTATTTATTATTTTACCATTTACCACCACTACTACTCCAAATCCAATGATATCCATATCTTTAATCTTTTTTTTTTTTTTTATCTTTATTCAGTTGCTTTCCCTTTACGCCTGCTGCTAGTTTCAAGAAGATAACAAACCATGGAATCCACGTCATCACCAAATATACTATACGCCTCCATCGCCTGCACATAGCTGAACCCCATTGACAGCACCATCTGCATTCCATTACACAGCACTGTTCCTTCGCCTTTGCTCTCACTCCCTGATGGCCCACCTGCTTTTTTTTTTCAAATGAGAATAAATGACCATTTTACCCCTTATGTTCCAACTTTTTTTACAATATGAAAGGAGTTGAAAGAAAGAACAAAAAAAAAAGGAGAAATATGTAGAAAGGTTGGTGTCTTAATACAGAAACAGCCCAAAAGTTCTTTTAAGGGAAAAATGGATGGATGGGTAAAAATGTCGGTCTAAACTTGTCTAAATGACCATTTTACCCTTACATTCCAAAATTTAACAAATTGCATCATACTCATAAATTTTAAGATGAGAAGAAAAAGAAGGGAAAATAGTGTATTAACTAATAGATAATAATGTCTATATAAACCATCTAAATGAGAGACTAAATGACCATTTTACCCCGTCAATTCCAAAATTACATAGTATTCCTCAATTTTAAGATGAGAGGAAAAGGAAGGGTGAATAAAAAAAATGATTAGTGACTTAATTAATAGATAATAATGTCTGTATAAACCATCTAAATGAGAGACTAAATGACCATTTTACCCCTTCAATTCCAAAATTACATAATATTCCTCAATTTTAAGATGAGAGGAAAAGGAAGGGTGAATAAAAAAAATGATTAGTGTCTTAATTAATAGATATAATAATGTCTGAATAAACCGTCTGAATGAGACTAAATGACCATTTTACCCTTGCATTCCAAAAAACAAATTCCATAACATTAATCAATTTTCACACGAGAGGTAAAAGAAGGTCAAATCAAGTTTCATCTGTCTTAACCAATTAAGTCGTTTTTGTCAAGATTCACATCAAGTGCTTAACCCATTAAGCTCATTAAAAAAAAAAAAAAAAAAAAAAAGGAATTAGTTACTTACTAATACTACCTCCAGAAGAGGATGGTTGAGCATCAGAAGTTGAAGATTCTGTTTGACCAAGTTGCTGTTTGAACTTATCATTAGCCATGTATTCAGCCCTCGATGCTGCCATCACCATATGCTCGATTTCCTTCTCAGTCAACTCCATATCTGAACAGAAACGTGCCTCTGCCATAAGAGCCTGTTTATATTTTACAAAAATTAGAACATCATGATCTGAAAAACCATCAAAACATGATCAAAGAGTAGCTTACATTATCAATCTGTTGATCTTGTTGAGCTTTGATTGCTGCTTTCACTTGATCTTTATCAACATTCGTCTGAAACAACAACAAAACCCAAAACATATATATTCAACAGCAACAAAACCGAAAAACATATAGAAAAAGGTGAAATGACTTATTTACCCCTTGCAGGCAGCTAAACCCAAGGCCAGCACCTATTGTGAGCCTACGTGGATCAACAAGAGAGTTGTAATGGTTGCCATGATGGTAACTTAACCGGATCGGAGGTGTATCTGTGTTATAGCTTCCATGGAATATATTTATAGGCTCTGTATTTATATAAAAAAATAAGTCAAGTCAACTGCACAAAAGTAGAGAGTAAAGACCCTATTATATATAGTTATATACCAGTGCTATATGAGTAGATATGAATAGGCCGATTGTACATTTCAGATAATGCTTGAATCTCTACATTGTTCCCATAGACCTGGATACACAAATTATAAAAGTTACTGAAAAGATAATTCAAGAAAAGACGTACATAAAGATAGATTCTTGAAATTTACATACTTTATCTCTTCGCTTTCTCTTGCAATAAGAAGTGAAACCCTCTGTTATAAACTGTGAGAAGTGGTCTCTCTCGCGTTCCTGAATCAAGATTCAAGAAAGAAATTGTTATAGTTGTTACTTCCATATTTTTAACATAAATAACACATTTTTTTCAAGTGGGGTTTGGATTGAATGAGATAAAAAGATTAACATACCATGTAATCGATGCACATTTGCCTAGCCAAATCGTATGCTTCAGAATCACCATAAACTTGATCTGCAACAGCACGAAACAGACAATTCCCATCTTCTGACATTCGTTTCACTTCATAACCTTGTGTGCGTCTAATATCAATCTCAAACTGTCGCTCCCTTTCCTGACAGAGAGATAATGTGTCATAATGTGATCGAAATTGAAGTGTAGATGTGTTGGTTTTTGTTTAAGAATGTAGAAATTGAAAACCATAGGGTGGAAAGTTTGTGATTTAATGGTTTACTGAAGGTGTATACCGTATTAGTCTGATTATTATTCAGTTCTTTGAAGTGAGTAAAACGACTAGAACTCACAGCATCATCATATGAGGATCCGAAGCATTGGTTTTGTTCATCGGCGCTGTTGTAGCCATCGTTTTCAGGATGAGACCTCGGAGATCCGGTGGAAACAACCGGCCAAGCGGTGGCTCTTCTAGATGAACCAATTCGTAGAGCAGCAGAATTACCAGGCGTAAATCTCCGGGAATTAGAACCTGTTGAAGATGGTTTTGGAGGTGGAGTAGGCGGAGCAGGTGGTGGAGGTGGATGTGGATGTGGATTTCCGCCGGTTGTTTGCGAAGGATAATCATCGGACTTTTTTACATCGTTCTCTTCTTCCTCTTCGTTTACTCGCAAGCCACCGATTCTTTTCGAAAGATCTTCTGAAACAGTTTCGTCTTCGCTTTTATCAGTAGTGGGTACATCAAGGCCATCGTTTCGATCAATTTCAACAGTTTCTACAGGAAGATCTTCAGAAAGAACGTGTTCTTGGACGTCGTCCCCTGTAACCTGAGCCTGAGGTGGACTCGATGAAGACGAAGAACTCGACCTATTTGTATTATTAGATGATGAAGAAGGCCCAGCGGCAGAAGAACCTCTCTGAACAAAAACACGAGTCATCCTTTCCCTTTTTTCGAGATGATTTCGATGCCCTAAAAACAAACGAATACAAAGTTCTTATTCTTGATGATTATTATAAAACCCTAGCTTTCGATTTGTCACGTGTCCTGGCCTTAGGCGACGTGACTCCAATTCCGCCGGTGAATGATTTTCTTTTATTGCTCCAACCAATATCGTCTTCGTCCACGAGCTGAAACGATCTCTGCATTCCCCTAACAATTCTCATGAGATTGAAGAACAACCAAACCCTAGCCCTTTCGAAAGTAACGCGAATTTTTACCTCCGATCAGTTCACCTCGGCGAACCCTAACAACAACCTGCAATCGCAATCAAATAAGCCCAAGAAAACAACCCAAAACGTACCATACCAAAATTCGAAATTAAAGATTCAAGAAACCCCTTAGATTCGAACAAAAAGGAAACCAATTGACCTAACAAAAGAGTTGATTCGAAATCGGAGCGTGGGGATGAAGTGGGTGTAGTGATCTGAAGAGTGTGTGTGATAGAGATTGAAGGGATTATTGGGAAAGTTGGTAGGGTTTTTGTGGAGCAGAAATCGATAAGGGATAGCTTGGCGACGAAGGAGAATATACATGGGTCTCTCTAAATACGCACGTACATGTTGAGATGAAAATGGGAGGCTGCGATTTAGCGGCGAAGGTTAAACAGGTGGCGAAATTTTGTGAAGCACGTGGGTGTCAGGCTTTGACGGAGGTGAGTTGCGAGACTCGGACACAAGCCCAGGAAGAGGATCTTGCTCTAAGATCTGTATGTACATATACATGACAAAGACAAGGACATAACACCACCAAACCTTGTGTTTAGAATACTTATACAAATATCATTTTATTTAGTTTTTTTTCATATGAATTTAGGTATTTTGGTAAGTGAAATGGAGAAGTAATGAAAAGCATTATTCCATTCTTGTAAAAAAAAAATTGTTGTTTCTTTGTTGAAATGGAAAAGAATGAAGCATTAACGAAGGAATAGCGTTACTTCAAAATTGTTGTTTGTTTTTTATTCTACGAAACACCGTCACTTGAAATTGTTGTTTGTTTGATGAGAAGGAATGTCGTTACTTCAAAATGACTGATTGTGATTCTACAGAACATCGGTTTTTTTATTCTTTGGTACAGAATGACGATACTCATTTTTACCCCTTGTTTTCGATGCATTAAATTCACAACCAGAATTAATTGAATCCATCCATTTAAAACAGGCGTGATAGTTAGTTTCTGCTTGTGAATCGGTTTCGCAACTGAAGATACATGAAAAATCGATGAAATGTGTCGTCGACAATCATTAGCAATTGAAAGTATCGTTTTTACTTATTTCGTTCCCTCTCGAATTCCAGAAGTCTGTTTATGTTCATTTATATAAGCTTCGTTTGTTAGAAGAAGTTATAATTTTATGTGCATGTTAAGTGCTTGATAAAATGTTTAAAAGGAATATATTTTGAAATTAAAGTCACATTTGATTATATTGTTGTAATTTGGTAGAGTATCCTCAATTTTACATTTGTTTATGCAACTTAAGAGATTGAAAGGTATTCTTTATCACTTCCTAACCTGTCTATCTATATTTTATAAATGAGGTCATTCAAATCAATATTATTCAAGATAAATCATTTATCTTGAACCACATTCATTTGAAACTCTTACCTTTTCAACTTATGCTAACTAACTACATGATTAATTGAAATATTTTGCATATATAAGAAGATTATTTCATGTTTAGTTATTTACATTGAAATAAAAGGTTTGAATGACCTAAAACCATAAAGTTTGGCCTAAAGTCAAACTTAGGCAAAAATTCAACAAAGTCAACTTTGGGTTAACCAGGAGCCATGCATTCTATAAGGGCGCCCTGTGCTCACTAGGAGACAAAATAACCAGGATTCCAATCTAAAACATACTCATATTAGAAACCTTTAAAAAACGCAATGCACTTAAGTGGACACGCTGCCTCTAGGCTTATTCCAAAAGGCAATACGAGTTAATCCATTAATTTGATCCCTCAAACTTCTAGATCTAGTCCCAAACCATGTATTAATGGATAAAGTTTCCAACTTTATCCATTCAAACACTTCAAGCCAACAAGATATAAACATTAAACATCTAAATGACCTAAAATGTCAACACCACTAGCATAGCTTAAAGAACATGCACAAGATACCAACTTTCCAAATCTAAATGGTCCAAATAACAACCATAAGTGCTTAAAAGGAGTTAGAGTCACCTCAACTCTAAGCTCACCACCAAAATTGGACCAAAAGTGTATAAAATGGACTATAAGCAAGATCTAGCAAACTTGAAGGAATGCTTGGAGTGTTTTTCTTATAAAGGTCCAGAAAAGGTGTGAAATTTATGGATCTACTCTTCACTTCTACGCTTCAAAGGAAATCTTAATCTTTAATATTAATGCACAAGACAAAGTAGGATAAACTCTCAATGAGGAAAACATGCTTAAAATGAGAGGAGATGGGTTAGGGTTTCTGAAAACACATTCTAGGAGTGATAGAGGTTGTAAATGGTCCAACCCTAGAGGCTTAAGTGTGTATAAATAGCCAAGAAACCCTAAAATCTCGTTAAGCCCATGGGCCAGAAGCACGTCGTGCATTATATGAGCGCACTGTTACCAATGAGCAAAAATAGGCCCCAAACGATATTCAAGGCCAAAATCGACAAAGGACCATCAATATAAATTCTATTTAAGAATACATATTGGAAATGGATATTATAATTATCCCCCACTTGAATCAGATTTCGTCCACGAAATCCACAACAATAAACAACTCGGGATAATACTTCGTCATCTCTTCCCCCGACTCCCACGTCCATTCTGAACCCTTACGACGTTATCATTGCACCTTCACTAGCCCGATCACCTTGTTGCACAAGGTCTTTGTCTTTTTTTCCAAAATACAAACCAACTTCTCAACATAGTTCAGACGCTCTTCGACTTGGATATCTGTAACATCCTAAAATTTACGACCAAAAATCTCGTTTTTAATTTATAAAACAGATTACTGGAAACATCTTCAAGGTCATATCATATCATAAAAACCCATAAGTCATATAACTCAAAACATAGCATAGTAAAATAAGGTCAGAGTATAAAATCCCAAGAATCCCATAATGCGGAAAATCATGTGTGATGCGAGGCAATCATTCCGGCTCCTTTCCCTTTGAAAAAGATGTACCTGAAACCAAAATTGTAAACCGTAAGCACAAAGCTTAGTGAGTTCCCCCATCATACCACATACAATACAATAATATACTGCCTAGCATATCTGGATGTTGGCCTACCCCTTCGGTCTCTTTCAACCGGTAACCGCCTAACATATATGGGTGTTGGCCTACCCTTTCGGTCTCTTTCAACTGGTAATTGCCTAGCATATCTGGGTGCTTGTAAGTCCCCAAATCTTCTTGTGTATCAACCAGATCTAATTGATCGTGCAGAATCCCAATCAATTGGATGATTTCAGATCAAAATAGAATAGAAGGAGAAGAAGAATAACTTGAATATATGATGTATTCAATGTCGGAATGAAGCTCCTTACACATAGATTCATACACACACACACACACACACTCTTCTCTCTAACTTTCTCTCACACCTTACGAACACACACTTAAGCACTTCGAGAAATCTAATCACATCACCCACCTAACACCTATATATACAAGGGCCACAAACTCAAGGCCGTACTGAAAACCCAATGGACGGAAAACCCAATGCTAGACCGAAAACTCATGGGTTTTCGGTCCAAGCTACAATTAATCCCAATATTAGTTTTTAGCCTAAATGATAAAACAATAAATGCTTAGAAAAGCAAAGTATAAACCAATTTTATACCCAAACAATCTCCCCCTAAAAAGTAGTTGGCACTTCTTGATAATCTTCATTGGGAGCTTGGCTTCAACTATTATCTTCAAATTTTTCACAGCATCAGGATGAATATACGAATCTTCTATGAATGACTTCATCTTGAGCAGTTAGGATTTCTGCAGAATTTGACATTGAACGCGCATTGGGTGAGGAGGGTTCTTGTAGAGATTCATGAAAGATGGTGCTTTCAGCTTGAGAATCTTCAGATAGAACGAATCTTCTGGATCACTTTCGCAGGTTTATAGATAGCAACAGATTGATTGAGGAGGCTTCAATGCAATTTGTCACATAATCTTTAAGCGCAGCTTGACCTTGCTTTTGGGGTTGAAGGATTGAATTTTTAAAGAATAATCTTCATTTCTTGCTCCTTCGAATGAAAATTCTTCGATGCTCACGGATGAAGCCGTGGCTCAGAAAATCTTCAATACAATCTCCACGAGTCTCATCTACGCCTGAAATCACTTTTCAAGACAAAACAAAACTAAAAGAAAAATTAGCACACAAAAAAATATATTTGGATTTTTTATATTTAAAAAAAAATAAAACAGAAATAACACTATTTTTTTATTTTTTATTTTCTATTTTTTTGTTTGATTTTTTTAAATTTTTCTGATTTTTGTTTGATTTTTGAATATTTTTTTTAATTCTTCCCCTTAATTTGTGCATAGAGAAAAACTATGAAAAAATTTAAAAAAAAAACAAAAATATTTTGGGATCAAAGTTGTTAGAGAGTCTTAATCCGTTTGTCACTACCTTCCCCTTCATGAATAGATCTGGTCGATCGCCGATATTGTGTTCCACTTAAGCACGAAAAATTGTGACAAATTTTGGACATTATATAAGTGACAAGACAAGTTGATCCTGTGTTCCTAGATAGAACTTCATAAGGACCATTCATCTGACGATAACCAAGGATATTGTTGTCCACCTAAGTTGAGCAGCGAGATCTACAGACAATCTAGAATTGTTCAGTTTTAGATGTACTACAACATGTTTCCCGCTTCCTGATATACCCCAATAATCAAGAACTTCCGAGATACTCCTTACTTTAGGTGAGCAGACTATTATTCATAGAGAGGATAGATTTAGATTATGATTAATTATAGTTTTTAGAGGGATTAAGAAGTAGAAGGTTGCATATGCTGTGTACCAGGTCGGATTGTTAATCACACAAAGGAGACAACATATGGCTAACAGATAGGAAGAATTTCATAGATATAAGATGCAGAGAAATAGATTTGCATATGTTGTAGTCCAGGTCGGATCTCTTCCAATCACGTAGAGGAGGCAACATATGACTAACAGTAAGAAAGAAAGAAAATAATTTTCTACAGACCTACTTTATCGGAATTCCCTAGTCGCTCCATCAATACCGGAATTAAGGACAAAATTTGTACATCGAGGAAAAGTAAAACCGCAGTTCTAGATACGGGTTCTTTAGTGTGACTGGTGGATTCTCATGTATATCTCCCTGCTTAACCTATCCAAGCGTCGTATTGTTAGGCTAAATGGATCTATCTAGGTCAAGATTTGTCAAGTAGTTTGATTTCTTAAGTTCATCTTTGCCTAGTCAAGTCCATTTAAATCCTTTATACCTACCAGCACATCGAACACAGGGCCTACACAATTCAGCTTTGGTACTTAACATAGACTCAGATTGCCTGTTATCACTTGTTGATATCACTTCCCAAACAATACCTACTAAATAAAAACTATAAGAAAATGAAAAATTATCTTTAAAATGAATCAGTGTAAGGTAAACTCAGGAGTATAGAGAAGAAAAAGCAAACCGTAATTCACCGATTGAATTTGCATCAAGAAGGTCTGAGAACAACACATTTAATCTCAGAACAGATCCGAAAATTCTTCACTTCGTTAAGCACAAACCCCATATGATCCTCTCCTTTCTTCCCTT